CACGCTCTTAACCATTACACCAGACTGGCTCTCTGAGTACATTTATCACAGTTGACACTCTTTCCAGGGGACTCAGTGGTAGCTGCATACCAAGATCATGGAAACCACGATCCTGGGTTCAGACAGTATGACAAGCCATGATGGTACAGAAAAACCATGGAACAAACTGTTGTTGATTTCTGAAGTCCAAACATACCATGGTGAAATACCATGACTGGGTTAGGGTTAGAACCATCATGGCTTGTCATGTTGTCCAAACACAGCTGGCCTTGGTCCCCATTGAAATACCCTCACACATGGAGATCTTTACTAGCTCCTTCTTGGCTGCTGTTCCAAGACTTGTTCATCTTCAAATTTCCAGCCTGCCTTGGAATGGGTGGCTGAGCCCATCTAATATTCTAATATCGTGTACCTCCACTTCTAGCCTCAAGAGTTAATCACCTCATGATACTTGCAGGCGATGGGGAGAACTTGCTAGCCATTCGGCGTTCCAGATGTTCCATCCCCCAGATGACCTGGCCTAATTGACTCGTAAGCATAGAATGACCCCATTTCATCTGCACACCCTTGAATCTCCCCTCCCAAGCTCTTCTCTGATTTGCACATACCGGGCAAGACGTTCCTTTGCAGTGAAGTCCTTTGTGCCATCTTTGGGGGAAAAGACTCTCTTGCTAAAATAACGATGCAAAACATGCAGCAACTTTCTGCTTGAATAACAGATGTGAAATGGGGCTGGAGAGGTCACATTTTCTAAATTTTTCTCTAGACTGTTTTGAAGAAGAAGGAGCATTTGCCCTGTTAATGTGGAGCATCGTGGTTTCCTTGCTCTGGACTTTCCCACGATCTTTTCTGATCTGTAGACGTGTCTCTCCCCTTTGACAAGAGTTAGAAGTTCAAAGGGGTTTGAAGAAAGAAGTCCCCATTGGGAAGCAAGCGGCTGCAGGGGAAGGTTTACTCTTCCTGGATGATGATGATGATGATGATGATGATGATGATGATGATGATGATGAAGATGTGGCAGCAATTTCAGCAGAGCTGGAAACCGCCTGACCCCCAAAAGTTGCCCAGCCCTGACTTAATGATCATTAATCCCTAGAGATGACCCGATATCCCAAGCAGCTCTGTGTGATTCTGAAAGGATCGGGTTTGTGATGCATGGAACCCCCTCCAGTGCAGCAAAGAGGCAGGAGAGAAAGTCTTATGTGGAAGAGCAAGGCAATTTAAAAGGGCAATTAAAAAGGAAATCCGGAGGCTGCAGAAACAAGGTCAAAGCGACAGTATGTGCTTCTTCGAAGAGCAGATTGCTCGGCGTCTTTCCTGAGTTTTGAAATTGCTGGCGTTCGTATTGCACTTCATATTTGGAGAAAGAATGATTCATTGGGATAATAGCTTTGTGAATAAAGCATCACCAGCTCAGAGAAGGCTTAGGGAATAGAGGGGGACATAAAATTTATTTTAACCAAGGAAAAACACCGGCTGCTGACTCTGCATCATTGTCTCCGGCACACTCCAAAACCTGGAATGGAGGGCTTCTGGACCTGGCAGCCAAAGAGCAGAAGGGCGTGATTTCGCTATTGTGATGAATGGGCCCCTCCTCCTGTTGTGGCTGCTGTCATCAAGGGCTGTCAAGCTGTCCCCACATGTGCCGACCCTATGATGAAAGCCTCCCGAAGGTGCTGTCCAGGGCAGCGCTGCTCAGCTCTTCTAAGTTTGGGGCTGCAGCTTCCTTTGTGGAATCAATCCATGCAGAGGAGGAAGTGTCTGACTGGTTTTTGGACTACCGCAAGGCGCTCTACGTGGGGCTGCCCTTGAAGATGGTCCACATACTTCAATTGGTCCAGAATAGAGCTGCCAGGTGACTAATGGGGACCGGCAGATACCCTCGTATCACACCAGTCCTCTACCGTCTACATGGCTGCTCATTGAAGTCCAGGCCCAGTTTAAGGTTCTGGTAATGACCTATAAGGCCCTAAACGGCTTGGGTTCTGGGTACCTGAAGGAGAGCCTTCTTCTCTATGTGCTGGCCCATCCCTTGAGATTGGAGGCAGAGGGCCTTCTCCGGGAGCCCTCTTTGAAGGAAATCAGGAGGGTAGCCACTCAGAGAAGGGCCTTTTCAGTGGTGGCACCCAAATTGTGAAAAATGTTCCCCAGGGAGGTTCGTTAGGCTCCATCCCTTTATTCTTTTCCATGTCAGGCGAAGACCTCTCTATTCCCCCAATATTTTAACAGTCAATTGGTTTTATCCTTGTTTTTATCCTATTGGATGCAGTGTGCAGTGTGTTGTTGATATGATAGATTGGTTTTTGGTTTTCTGTTTTTTGTAAGCTGTCCAGAGAGTTTTAGTATTGGGGCGGCATATTAAAAAATGTAAATAAATAAAATTAATTAATTAAATGAAGTACCTGCTGCTGGGGGCCTCAAGCAGGAAGGCTCTGTGCCCTGTTAAGGGATACATAAGCTCCCACCCAGAGGCCAAACCTTATCCCTTCTGGGGTCCAGCGCTACATGTCCGGTAGCTCCTTGGCTTTTGTGTGCTTCTTGTGTGCTTCTCTAGCTTCTAACGCTTGAAATATTTTCCCTAATTGCTGGTAGGAAGAGCTTTGGGGATTTTGGTCCTATGCTGGTCCTTCCGCTTCTGCAGAGGCTGATGACACGAATGTCAGTGGGCAGTGCGTTTACTCACAGTTGTGGTCTGCACATTTCATGAGCTGTCCGTGCCGCCGAGCACATTTCGGGGGCAAGGTCTCTCGTGTCTTTCATGCTCCAACTAAAACCTGGAGTAGATACACCCCGCAAGAAAAGTGGAGTCAAAAGCATCCACGCCCCCACCCCCGCCCCGGCATGCTGTCCCCAAGCGCTCGTCAACATGGAATTTGGCCCAGGCCAGGAATAAGTCCATTGCCCTCGCCCTGCAAGGCATCTGGTTTTCCACTGTGGGAAAGGGATGTTGCAATGATGCACACCCCGTGGTCTGGTCTAGCAGTGCTTCTCCTGCATGACGGATCTGCCAGTGCCGCGGGGAAGGGCAATGGATGTGGCGAGTGGCGGGGAGCCACAACCTGGGAACTGGCCAGACTCCTCTAAAAATGCAGAGAACAGAAGCGGTGAAGACGCCTCCCGCCTCTTCCTTCGCTGTGTGTGCAGGAACGGTCCTGTGCTCTCCGTGACAGCAAATCAGCCAAGAGATGCTGCAGCGACAAGGAAAACTCGGGATTGCATTCCCCTCCAAGGGCAGAAGCGGTTTCGGTGTTGCCCGCGGTGCCTTCTGCCCCCCCCCCCCCCGGTCCTGCACGGAGGTCGGAAGTCCCTCGTCTGGTCCAGCTTGTGCCGCTTTTGTCTGATCAGTTATTTGATGTCAATTGTTCCTCCTCCCCCTCCCGAAATCAGCGTGCGTCTGTCTGTGATAAGACTTGGAGGGCTTCCAGTGCTGCATATATCGCAGAGCAGGGGAGAAGTGTCTAATAGCTCGGACACAGGCTGATTCTGGGAATGTGCTGGCATCTGAACCCCACTGCTTAGCATGGGGAAAAGCAACCCTTCCCTGCAGAATGCCGCCTTCCTAGGGAGGCTGGTGCAGAATGAAACAGCCTTTGGGTTCGCGTCCTTTGTCTTGCACCCCGTTTGCACAAGGGGGTGTGCACAGACGAGGTGTGCCTTGGATCCAACTGAAGTCCAGTCAGGGCTGGCCCACGTAGCACAGTACCTGGCGTGTCTTTGAGGTGAGGCGAGCTTGCCTCCGGAGCAGGCAGACCTGAAGCCTGGGCCCTGCCTGAGGCTATTCATGGAATCATAGAAGGGTGGAGTTGGAAGGGGCCAGGGGAGCACCAGGTACCGCCCCCCTCACTGCAGGGCTCCCAATTAAACGTCCCTCTCGGCTTCTCTGGGCTAACTGAGAGGTGCAGCACACCCAGTTCAGCGTTCTAAAGGCAAATGCCAGCACCTGGATGGCGCTCAGCTTGGGAATGTGTGCTGAATCTATTTTGGGGACGAGAGTCCATCAGATTCCCCTAAATGCCGGCCTGCTTCGATGCAGCCATGAGTCCAGTCTCCTGCCAACAGCTCCTGGGATTCAGGCAGCCAAATTTGATAAGGAAGTGCTCGCTGGCTTGGTCTCGGCTCAGCTCACTTTCCAAGGCAGGGCTGAGTAGGAGGAGAAGTCCATGAACGTGAGAGGGACGGGTCTCAAGGAGCTCTGACCCTCCCCTAGTTCATCTGCAAAAAGAGATCCAGGGCAGCTGATGCCGCATTAGCATGGCATCATCCAAATGTCTAGACGGGTGGTGGCAAACCTACGGCACGCGTGCCACAGCAAGCACGGGGAGCCCTCTCTGTTGGCATGTGAGTGAAGTCGCCCCAGCATCGCCCCAGCGGCCGAGCATCGGATAATGGCGCACACAGGGGCCATGCGCATGCTCAGAAAGGAGTAGCGGTGTCAGGTGATGACGTCACAAGCCGCGACTTGTCCGAGCTTTCGCGTGGCCGCTCAGTGCGCTGAGAGGGAGAGAGAGAGAGAGAGAGAGAGAGAGAGAGAGATATTATCTTGGACTGGCTGGGAGGTGTTTTTCCTAAACCTCAGTTCTCAGGTTTTATTGCCATGTTGGCACTTTGCAATAAATAAGTGGGTTTGCAGTTTGGGCACTGGGTCTCTAAACGGTTCGCCATCACTGCCCTAGCCCCTCCTGCTGGGATCCATTGGAGTCAGGATGCTGCCAGAGGTTGACTCAGATTTGTTTTGCCCACTGCCACGTCCTTGGCTGAAGAATGGAATGAGTGCGCCTTAATTTTGTCTGAGCATCTTGCTCTTAAGTCATCATCCCATAAGAACAGAAAAAGGGAACTGATTCCAAGCACGGCGATCAGTTGAATTTCATGCAATATAATAATTGTGACTTGCAGGGGAGGCATTCCTGTTGGAGTGCCCACATTTTGATTATTAGGTGGACTCTTCCTCATGTTTATGGTCCGTGATTGTGTTCTCTCTCCCCCTTCTTCTCTTGCAGATCAATTTTGTATTTCTGTTTAACATAGTTAGGATTTTAATGACAAAACTGAGAGCATCGACCACTTCAGAAACAATACAGTACAGGTAAGTGGGGTGTTTAACAGCCGAACAAGGTGTGAGGGATCAAACCCTTGAAAACAATCCACAGGCAGGTTGAAAGGTCTTGAATGTTAACGGTGAAACCCTGCGGCTCCCACATCATCTGGAAGGCCATGGGGTTCTTCAGAAGTCTGGGATGGTGGAGATGGGAGGCCAAAGGCCGATCCTGTGCCCTGGCCCCTCATAGGCAGCTCAGAAGAACCTCATCAGCTACTCTCAGTCTCCGAGGTCGCAAATGGACCTCAGAGTGGGGGCAATGTTTGTGGGAAGGCAGGAAGAGGAGGAGACCAAGGTCATGGAGTTATTCCAGTTCCAAGCAGTACCCCAACCTCCTTCCCCATGTTGGCAGTTGTCATTGTTGTGTGTCATCAAGCCTTCTCCAACTCACGGTGACCCCATGAATGAAAGCTCTCCCAGAGGCCCTCCCCTTGACAGCCCTGCTCAGCTCTTGTCCACTCAAGGCTGTGCCTTCCTCGATGGGGTCCACCCATGTCATGCTCATTCTGGACAGCCAAAAACAGCCAGCTGGAGAAAACACAGGTTGAAAGACAAGACAGAATTGTGTCCTAAGCCAACTTTAAATTCCACCACTGACAGGAACTTGCCTAAAGCAGGAAGGGGAGTGCTTCGCAGACGAAGCACAATGTTTGGTCTTCTCCAGCGCTTCAGGGCTCAACTCACAGGGGTTTCCTTGCTGCTGAAAGGCTTTTCAAATTCTCTCTGTAGTGCTTGCAATACATTTCATTTCTTGGTTTGACTCCCATGAAACCTGCAGAACTGCCCAAACAAGCTCTTTTGCTTGTTCCCTAGCCCAGGTTTGCTGACTGGGCATAAAGATTCTGCTTGTGTCTTGTCATTGGCCTCAAATTAATGATTTTCTAGTGCAGAAGCTGCTTCATAGAAGGAAGGGACTAGGACTACTTGGGGTGCAATTCTATCGCCCCCCAATACCCTCAGTGCATGTAACTTAGAAGGGAAAGGACACCCTAAGCCCCAGTCCAGCTCAGGCTAACCCTGGATAGCCAGTATTGCACTGGTGGAAAGGAGGGTTGGAGGATCTCGAAGCTGGGATCCCAAATAATCTATTCCCTCCTCCAGCACCCAAAACACCAGGAGGCCACAGAACTGCATCCTTGCGCATCAACTGAGCCCACACTTTCAAGGAGCAATTGGAAATACTCGAGCCTCCGTATCGGCCCGTGTGTGGCTCTGCAAGTCACCAAGGCCCGCCTTCGCTTGCTCAATTGATCCTTTCGGCGTACCTTCAGCCACGGAGTCGGTGGAATGTCACGATCTGATGTCACCCACAGACTGAAATAGGCACCTATTATTATGCAGAAAATTAAAGCAGAGTTGTCATGATTGGAATCCTGCCGCAAGCTGCCGTGCCTGGTGTTCTCTCTCTCCATATCATTACCTGCCTTTTAATTATAGCATTGGTGATGGTTTGCCTGCTGCACTGTCACAGTTTAAGAACATTTATGAAGAATTAAATATGCATATACGCACTCTCAGGTAGAGATGCAGAACTTTTGGGCCAAAGGCCTGTTCCCTCCTGCATCCAGACCAGCTCCGTGGGTTTCTCCAGTGGGTGGAGAAGGGAGAAATAATCTACCATGGAGAATTCACCATGAACAAAATTAATTTCATTTATTCTCAGCATCTAAACAGATTCTGGAGCAGTGAACAAAAAGAAGATACGGCAGATAAAAGAGTAAGACAGTGTATGAAGAGCAGAGTATCAGTAAAACTATGGCTGGGCAGTTAAGGAAGCCTTCCTGAAATAGAGATAGGCCGTGAACACGAGAGTGGCTAAATAGGGTCAGGGTTAGGGTTAGTTGGCTATGCTGAGGGCTCCTCTCCTGGTGGACGCCCGCCTGGCCACAGATCCATGAGGAATCGTGAGGAGCATCTCAGCAACCAGAAATGCTTGATGTTCGATCCAAGACTGGAGGTGGGAGCGGGGATTTCCCTGCTCATCAGTTTCCATCACATGTGGGGCGGGTGATAATCGCAGAGATAACTTTTCAGTGGTGCCTCCAGCCCTCAAAACACCATCTTTAAGGAGTCATGCCTGGAACCAAGTCTTTCCTCTTCCAGCAGAAGACACGGGCTTTTCTTTTATCTGTTTCTAGTTTAAAATGTATCCAGCTCCTTTCAGGTTTTGTCCTTATGCTTTTTTCTTCTTCTTTTCTTAGCATGACATGTATAAGGACACTTCAATAAGGACATGTTCAAAATTGGAGGGACTCTCTGGGTCCTTGGACAAGTCTTCCCGGCACTGCGGGTCCCTCTCCTCCCTTCAGCTCAACTTTTCCCTTTGATCTCTTCCAAACAGGAAGGCCGTTAAAGCAACCCTGGTTCTTCTTCCTCTCCTGGGCATTACTTACATGCTCTTCTTTGTCAACCCTGGAGAAGATGACATTTCTCAGATATTTTTCATCTACTTCAATTCCTTCTTGCAGTCCTTTCAGGTAAGAGGTGTTTAAGGAATGCTTGGAAAGGGAAGCTGTTCCCCGGGACACTGGTGGGACTTCGGACTTGTTCGGCCTCAGCCAGAGTGCATTGTGGGCCAGAGCTGTGTGAGGGATCCATTTTGGGAGTGGTAATCCATCGGATTCCCTGGGCTCAGCTCCCAGGACTCCAGTCCACTTTGCTGGTTCGTTTTATTGGATTTTTATCTTTCATCATTAGCCAGAGTTCCCTGAACAGGTTACATAATTAAAAGTATACAATAAAAAGCAATTTAAAATTCACAATTGATACAGTTTTAAAAAGCATCAATATTAATTCACAAAACCTTAAGATTGTCTCCAGTGAAGCATACTAAAAAGCATAACAACATGTTATAAAACATGATGCAAAATGTTAAAACCATTATCTATATAATTAGAATATCCAATGAATATAAGGGTATTCGCTTGGTGCCTGAAGGAGTAAAGAGAAGGTGCCAAGTGAGCCTCTCTGGGGAGCTGATTCCAGAGTTGGGGGGCCACTACTGCGCAGGCCCTTCTCCTTGTGGCCACGCTCCTTATTTCCTCGGCGGGGAAAGGGTTCCTTGAGAAGGACCTCCAACAATGATCTAAGGGGCTGGCTAGGCACAGGTGACGCAGCGGCCAAGAGGGCAAACACCACCCGTGGTTGCATAGCCAGAAGTGTGGCTTCTAGATCGAGAGAGTTATTACTACCACTCTACACGACTCTGGTGCACCCGCAACTGAAGTATTATGCTCAGTTTTGGGCCCCTCATTACAGAAAGGATATAGCCAGGTTAGAGTCAGTGCAGCGTAGGGCCACAAGGTTGGTGGCCGGTTTGCAGGGGAAGCCGTATGAGGCGAGACTGAGGGAACTGGGTCTCTTCAGCCTGGAGAAGAGGCGACTCAGAGGGGATCCGTTGGCGACATACAGGTATGTGAGGGGATGTCACACGGAGGTGGGTAGAGACCTGTTCTCCCCTGCAGAGGAAGGCAGGAAGTGCTCCAACGGAGCAAAGCTCAGGGAGCCAAGGTTCAGTTCGGATGCCAGGAAGCACTTCCTGACTGTCAGGACCCCGAGGGTGTGGAATGGGCTTCCCCGGGAGGTGGTTGAGGCCCCATCGGTGCGGGTGTTCAAGGATAGGCTGGACATGCACATGGTGGGCATGTTGTGAGCGGAGCCGGCTGGAGCCAGGGGGTCAGACTAGATGGCCTGGGAGACCCCTTCTGACTCACTCTGCTTCTATGTTTCTATATGGGAAGGGGTGCTCCTTTAGATACCCTGGCCCCAAGCTGTTCAGGGTTTTAAATACTACTGTTAGCACTTTGAATTTCTGAATCCATAAGCCTGAGTTCTTGCTGAGCAAACCCAGAATTTTGGCAGCATTCCCCAGAACTTGTGTCCGTTTTCCATCTGCAGCAACATTCAAAGACTTTCTCTTAGCTCCGCTCACTTTCTAAGACAAGGTAGTCTGCAAATGTTAAAAGGAGCTTGCAGCTTCGACACATCCCTAATCTAGACTCCCATCATCCCCAGCCAGCTCCCTCCTGAAATATTTTCCTGGTGGCTGATTACTAGAGATGGGTTGAACAAGATTCTCTGAAAATCAGCTCAGTACAAGTTTCACACCCAATTTTCAACCCAGTTTGCGCTTGCTGCTTGTTTCAAACAAGCAGAAAACCGTGCAAAAGGAACAGGACTGAAGGCAAAATCCCCCAACTTTTCACCAATTTCCCAGTGCCTAAAGCAGGGCTGGTTTAGACATTTGTGGAAATGTGAAAATCCACCGAAATCCAGTGGGGAAATCTGCACAAGCTGAACATGCGTGCATGTTCAGGAATGTGAGAACATTTTCCACCAACACGTTCTTGCTCCAGGTCCAGATGTTTGTGAGAAGAAAGAAGATTCCCACCTATGCTCAATAGTGGCACCTCCAAGATGCGCTGCAAAGCATCTCTGTCGCTTGGCCAGAAAAGCCCAGTGAGACAGTTAGATAATGTGACTTTTAATGCCTTCGTAACACCCCCTTTTTTCAATGGCCATGTGAGTTTTGTTGTGAAACTCACAGTAAATCCACCACCATTGCATGCTTTCGACTTCTGTGTTTCTGATTTGGTTGCGCAAAAACAAAAAAGCAACCCTGCTTTTAAAAAAATACTCTGCGCATGTGCAGATTTGCATTCGAGCTAATTTAAATTATGTCAGGAAGAAAAAGACAATATTAGCATCGGTTCCCCTGGGCTGAGTGGGCCACATCTGAGGGTAATTTTAAAAAAATATATTAAGAAGAGAAAGATCCACATTGGCTCAGGTGGGCCCCAGTGGCCTAGCTCGTCGTTGTGAACCTGTGTGCCCTCACCCCATCACCTGCCAGCCTTTGGGGGCGACTTGGTGGCTCAGGGCTGCAGCCCAGTGGCTGGCAAAAGACTCTGACTGCTGTGCTCAGCCCCCGGCATCTCTAAGTGGGGCTGCTGAAGTCCCTGCCAGCTACCCTGGAGAGCGGCTGCCGGCCCGTGTCAGCAAAACTGGCTGAGATGGACCCAAGGCTGACTCTCATGTTCCTAGCCAGAGTGGCTCACTGCCCAGGCTGTGCAAGGCAGGAGCTCGGAGCGATGGGTGCTGGCATGGGATGGAGGCATCACCTCGCAGTGCCAGGTCCGAGGGACCGCTGAAGTCCCGCACCAGCTCTGGCAGGAACGGCAGTGCTCGCTTCCAAAGCTCCCGTCCTCCCCCACGCCTCTTTCCATCATCCCTCGTGCAGGGGAATTAATCAGCTTGTATTTGATTCTTTCCAGGGGTTTTTTGTGTCCGTGTTTTACTGCTTCTTAAACGGTGAGGTAAGTGCAATCCATCGCTTCTCAGTTCGTTTGTTCAGCGCAGATGGTGTTCAGTGAAAACGAAATGGAAATCCAATTTAGTCTTAGATTATCTATCTATCTATCTATCTATCTATCTATCTATCTATCTATCTGACCTGCCCCTTTTCCTTCCAAGGAACTCAAGGCAGCTTGAATAATCCTCTTCCTCTCCATTTTATTCCCACAACAACCCTGTGAGGGAGACTAGGCTGAGAATCTGCGACTGGCCCAAAGCCACCCCCTTTTCTGCTCCCAGCCCCCCCCACCCGTGAGGAAGGACCTTCCCCCACATTTTCCATTGAAAAAAGGGACTGAGCTGCAAGATAAGAATGTTAGTGCACCCTGGAGAGAGAGGGGTTGTGGATTTCCGTCCCTGTGAAGTGTCTGTCTCATATCCTGCATCTGCTCTGTGGCGCTTAAGACAGATGGGGATATCCAGGTGCCTTCCCAGCGCCACGCTGACTTTTAGCACTGCTAAAAGCTACATTTTAAAGCTTACCGTGCCAGCTTCTGGCACTGCAGATCGTTTGGCAAAGGGTCATAAAGGCAGGCCCACTCACCCAGGTGTTTCCTGGTGTGGCTCCCCTAAGGTAACAACTGCAATTGGGAAATGCGGAGAGTTGGGTCCAGGTTTGCAGTGGGTCAGCTGCAGGGCCACAAGTGGAAGATGCTGCACAGAAGATGCTGCTGGGGAGAACTGGGGGTCGGGGAGGAATATCCAAAAACCAGGCAGTGGTCCTTAAGGGAGTGGAGGCTTTGTTGTGCACAGGACAAAGCCTGGTTCAGCCCCCACACCATGGAAATGCATCCGTCGTGGCAAAGGTACCAAGAACTTCGGTTTCTTGTCATGGGCAGGCAGCCTCCAACGCAAGCACTGTATAATTTGAAATAGCTCTTAGTTTCACAGGGCGTATGGCCTGACATCTCCATTCACAATACCCCACTCGCTCCCAAGTCACCTTTACCAGTGAAAAATAATGCATATTATTTCTTGCATTTCCTTAACAGTGGGTGGAAAGAGCATTTCTTCTAAGAAGGTTGCAATCTGGATTCTGTTCCTCCCTTTTCCTATCATACGCGGTTTTATTTTTCAGTGCCTCTCCTTTCAGACCCTGGCACCCTGGGGGAATATTCCTGTCTCCCTGCTCCAAGCCATTCTTTCTGTTTCCCTCTCCTCCACTCACCAAGCCCTTGTAATCTCCCCCCACCCCAATCCACCCCGTGCCCTTTCAGATCTGCTAATAACCACGCCATTCAATCCTAAATGGTTTTCTATTTCCGTGCCCGCTTTTGTGAGCTGACCTGACCGGCACTGGATACAATGTCCCATTAGCACCAATGGAATAGCATGATTATAATAATTTCCGCATTCATTTGCTTCCTATTCTTGCTTGTGCATTTTTCTGCTTTCCATCTGCCAGTCCGTGTTAAGTGGAAGCCTTCAGGAGGTGCTTTGCCGTCGCCTTCCCGAGCAGCACTAGCAATTACTACAATGTGGGGAGAAAAGTCATAGGTCACTCCACCACAGTTGACGGTGCTGCTTTCCCCCAGTTTGCCTGGACTGCAAACTGATTCTCCAATCAATGGCAAACTTACCTAGGCAATGTATTCTTGCTTATTTTTATTACTGCACGCGTCTCTGACCTTTTTCTCCTCCTGCGAGGAACCCAAGGCGGTTTCCATAGTTCTTCCTATTTTATTATGAGACACAAGAGGGCTCCACCCAGAGAGTCCCACCCAGGGCAGCCCCCTTTGAAAGGGGAGCAAAAGCTCAGATGGGCAGCTTCCTCCTACATTTCTCTTTTCCTGGGCCTTTCAAGGTGAGGCAGCCACGTTCCGCACTCAGTGAATGCATCCTTTGAAATCAACTGGAAAAATTATCCTGCAAATGACCATTATTTCTGACCTTTTGCAGACTGTTTGAATTGCTCACCCTGGCATGAATTAAGAACAGGCGCTATTTTCCTAGGAGGAGAAAAATTGGGGACCTGCTATTTTTCTCAGACTTATTAGAAGCAAGCAGATTGTTTCTTCGTAAAAACAGTATTGATTGACAGATGTTTTGAGAGTGTCCAAAACTAAAGGGGTTTCTCTATGCTTTGCAAAGGAGAGGGGCTAGGAAATACCTGGCATCCCATAATTCCCAACCGTGAGTCCTTATCAAAAGCTCTAAGGAAAGCTCTTCTTTCTTTCCCAGCTCTTTTCCCCTGGCCATCTTTCTCTGCCCACTAATCATTCCTGGCTGTTAGGAGCAAGAGTTTTTGTGTTTTCTGTTATCTTTCTCCCCCTCACAGATAACCTTCCCTGTATTTCTCCCTCCCTACTACTAGAAATAAATATTAGCCAGGACAAAAAAAAAAGAGGAAATGGGACTAAACCAGAGCAGGAAAAGGCCACAGCAGCGGTTTCTGTTTCCCTGTTATCATGACTTCACACCTGTTGCCTTTCTAGAATGAAGGATATTTCTAGTGTGCTTTTAGCAAGTGTGAAACATAACATATAGCCTGGCTTTCGGGTCACAGAGGGTTTAAGTCCTATATCTGATTGAACTGGAGTGGTTTGCAGCAGCTCCTACTGCGATTCCGAAATTATTTAGTTATGTCCGTTTGCAGATAAAGATGTCCATTTCTTTTCTACTGAAAGCGTTTTTTGAGAATGCAAAACCTCTTCCAGACCAGAAATAAAAACAAGGATGATACGGATAAAGAGACAAGCTGAATTCTGTGTGCTGTGTGTCCAATTCAAATGAGAGGGAACCCTGCAGGGGCTTGCCAGCTTTCTGGTAGAATATTTGAAAGCTCTGAGTCAGTTTCAGGACATGCACAATCCTCTTCATCCAACTCTCCTCTGCAGATGTGGGAAGCTGCGGCAGCAGATGTGGAAGGAGGGGCTTCCCCCAGCCAGGTGCACCATTGTGATCTTGGGTGACACCTTGACTTTGATGGGCATCCCACACAGAGGAGCAAAAGGTTGCATGGTGTTCCTTGGCCCACACCGGTGCAAAGAAGCGTGCCGAATTTTGCAGAGCCCGAACGGGTCTCTGTTCATGGGGTTTCGCACTGAAGGATAGTGTGATGGGTTGTGTACTACACGGTTGAGTGTGGTTCAGATTAATATGGCAATACGGATTTCCGAATCCACCCGTTTTCTGAACTGCACAACACACTTGCCTGACAGATCAGTGTGAAGAACCGTAAGAACCGTGTCACATGATCTGCCTAGAGAACCCTCTCTCTGAACACAACACTGTCCAACAGCACAACTGTCTTAGGAAGAGCACCATGTCCTGCTTTGTGGAGGATTCAACAGCCTGGGCTCTCGCTCGCCACATACCTTGTTCTGAGTCAGTGTAGAAACGAGGCGCCCTCCACCTGCTGAAATGGGCTTTCCGGTACCCGTTCACGGTCCGTGTCCGTGGCATCCTCAGCCATCTCAGGGCTTCTCTGGAGCTTGAAAGGAAGTGTCCGTGGTGCTGAAATGCAGCCCCCAAATAGGCTCGCCCCTGTGGAGCACGCAGGGAGAGCTCCTGTAAAGCTGGAAAGGAAAGATGGACCGGAAGAGGAGGCCCACTGGCAAGGGAGTCTCCAGCCTCCTTTTTGCCGACTCTGTGCAAATTGCCGAATATGCCGGAGCAACTCACCTTTGCCAAATGCTTCCAAGAAAGGCAGTTCCTGGGCAGAGGAAAACTCGCCCTTGCATGCATGTGAAGCTGTGGAGCATCACGCAGATAATGGAGTTGTCCGGAAAGCCGGGGCCCACATGCAAGCCTCGCAGGATGCAGAACTGGGAGGGAGGGCTGGCTAGGAGAGACCTAACCTTGTAGCAGAAAGGTGGCGAGTAGAACACACACGCACGTCACACACCCCAGGCCTCCGAACAACAGTGCTGCTGCCAAACAGCCCCATTCCTGGATCCTCCATTCCTCCCTCCGTGTTCTTCCCTCTCCCTGCAACAAGCCCTCAGGACCGTGCCTCTGGCCATGCGCAGTCCTCAGCACGCTGGATTCCCCACGCGCACACACACACACCCCTGCCCCCTCCTCGTAACTTTTGGTGTACTCTTGTAAACCCCCAGATTCTCCTAAGATTGCTGATACCTCCCTCCGTTGCAGTGATGGTGCTGTCTGGTCCTGGAAGGAAGCGCTAGCCGGGGCCCCAGTGTCAGTGAGCCTCCAGCTAAGATTGCCAGCATGGATGGCGCCTTTAAAATTCAGACTGAAACCCGGGGTGGATACACGGCCCCACTGAGCAAGGCGGGGCAGTTGGAGGTCCACTGTTAGTGTTCACTGGCTGTCTCCAACCTCATGTCCTTCAGATGTTCTGAACTACATTTCCCTTCATGTTGGTTGAGGCTGATGGATGATGTAGTCCAGAACAACTAAAGTACACCCGGTTGAGGAGGGTGGGGTGTATGGCACGGCCTGTTTGGCGGTTGCCAGGATTTTCTGTGGTGCGTAACCCATCCCAAGGGGTCGCAGTGCCTCTTGGGTAGTGTAGTTGGTGGTAAGCGCTTCAAGGCAACAGCTGCTGGTCTTTGGGGGGGCCACCCTCTTTTCTCTCCACTCCGCCCACCACTGCAGCCCCCCGAAAAAGCATTTGGCCCTCGGATGGCATCCTGCCCTGAACGCGGCTTCTCTTCCTCCCACCAGGTTCGCTCTGCAGCCAGGAAGCGATGGCACCGCTGGCAGGATCACCACTCCCTCCGCGTGCGCGTGGCCCGGGCGATGTCGATCCCCACTTCCCCGACAAGGATCAGCTTCCACAGCATAAAGCAGACAGCCACCGTGTGACCAGCAGCCGCTGGCGGGGCCGTTCCCCGTCTCCTCCTCCATGATCCTCCGACGTCTTGGTTTTTCCTATGTTTTCCCTTCCTTCCTTCCTTCCTTCCTTCCTTCCTTCCTTCCTTCCTTCCTTCCCGCAGTTTGTCTTTTCACAACAAGGCGACTCTGGTGTGTCTTTGTGGGCATCCTTCCATTTTGACATGATGCTGCTGCTTTTGAAATAGGTTGCCCCCCCCCCCAGAAAAAGGTAACGACAGCAGGGGGAACGCAGTGAGAAATCCTGAAAGATATTGCATGGCTGACAACAGCCAGACGATGCGCATTCCCTCTGTTCCCTTTCTTCTGTTTAATTCTTGCAGTCGGGCCTCTTCAGCAGGATTCCCAGTGGCTTTTGAGTTTGTAAGTTTGTTTCTATGAATTTTTTTTCCTGATTAAGAAACTCTCTCCATGAGTAATACACACGGATATCCCATATCTTTTGTTCACTGCTGATTTTCATCCAATCTAGCATCAGGGTGGCTGGACTACAGTGTCCATCATCCACCACTAGTGTGCTGGTCATGCTGGCTGGGGTGATGGGCTTGTGATCCAAACCACCTGCACAGGGCTGCTCCAGGCTGGGGAAAACTTGTCTTTTTATGAGGAGTATACAGAGGTGTCTTCGTTTGAGGGGGAGTCCTTTGGATCTAAACTGGACAGGGACTTGGGACAGGATGTCCCAGATGACCCCGCCCCCTTTCCCTAGCCCCACCCTCTTTTCCCCAGCTGCAAAATATCGGGCTGTTTCCTTGATTTTGTGCAGCTTTTCCCTATTCAAAAAGATTGAAATGGCTCTCCCAAGGATTAGGTACTGCATTCAGAACGTTAAGCTAAAACGGGCATGTACTGTTTCGGTCATGCCCGCTTTCGCTTTTGCCCTGTCCCTGATGCCTTCTGTCCTAGCTACCAGTGCAATACCTCCTGCTGTGAGAGTGTCTTTGATTCTCAGGCCGAAAGAAGCCCCACACTCCTCCTATAAGGCAACGTTGCATCCTTATCATAAATACCTCCGTTGGCCATTTTTTGCATAAGCTCTCCCGGTTGCTAGCCAAGACGATACTCAGATGGAAGCCACACAGAGCACGGAATGGTGGGGGTGGTAGGGGAGGAGAGGTGTCACAACCATCCCATAGTTCTGGGGCCCGATCCCACACGTTATGCATACCGGTGACAATCAGCTAGAAAATAAGTCCCATTTTCTGTTACACAATATTGCTCTTTCTGTGCCAGGACATGACCTGACCTGATGCATCATAAGCATCCTCACCTCAAGGAAGCATCTTGCATTGCCATACACCAAAGTAACCACCTGGAAATGCCTTTGACACCCTTTTGATGTGCTGGCAGCCTCACAACATCCCTCTTGCTCCCGAGTGTGATATTGCAGACGACTGCTGCAAGAAGTCAGTGGCCTCGCGGACGTCTCCTTTACGCCCCCCCTTGCACACCTACTTTAACCATGGTTGGAACATCTGCAGCCAGAAAACAAATTCTGAAAAAATACCGAAAAAGGAGCCCTCCCCGAATGTTCAGAGGTCTCCTCTTGTGGTCGCCTGGCGGTGACTCTTTCTTGGCATAGGTGAGTAGTGCTCTGCAAGCATGCTACAATACGTAGTCTCCCCAAAACGTGAATGTGAAATAGAGGCTCCCAAACTCTGTTGTTCCGAGCATTTGGAAAGGGTTCCTGAAACTTCCCTTCCATGCCATATATTGGTTCAGCTGATGGGCAAAGCTTTGACATGGACAATTCCTCCAGCTGATTTCTCCCAGATTGTCATTTTCCGTTGTGCTTTGCCAATGAGCTTTGAAAGGGTAACTGAGCAGCTTCAGCAGCTGCCACTGCTTTTCTTGGAAAAAGGACAGTGGAAGGCTCTCTTTCCTCTTTGTTGGAAGAAGACTTTTTTTAAAGGGAAGCTTTTACAAAAACGGTCCCGTGCGGTTCTGGGGGCACCCGATCTGCATTGTGCAATGTGACACACACACTCCGGAGCTTTTTCTGTGACTCTGAAATATCCTGTAAATATTTTCAATAATAAATACTTCTGTTTTCAGTTTCTATGGATTCTGAGAGTTCTGATATTGTTCTTGATTGTCGGTGAGGATGTAGGAACCATGCTGGTTTGTTGGCAGTGCCGTATTTCAGATTTCGAGAGGCTAGCCTCAAAGGTCTGCTTCTGGGGACAGCACCAAGGGTAGGCATGGGTGGGCATTCGCCAAAGGCCCACAGGCCAGCAGGGGGCTGGAAAGACAAGCCCCCAGCATTGCTGCTTCTCTGCGCAATCGATGGTGCACCTGCTCCTTGCTCCAAAACACAAACTTACAATTTTGAACCAAAATACTGGTGATACTGGAGGCGATAGGTAGCTTCACACCATGACAACTTCTCATTTTCTCACACACACACATGCACACTGCTAAGCAACCCAAAATCAGGAAGGGCAGTGAGATTGGTGGGCACAAAGAGAAGCATCTCCAGGTAGCCTGGTGCCTGCAGGTGATCTGTTGGAGACCCTGATCCAGTGAGTTCATGGCAGTGGTAAGATTTAAACTGGCCACTGATTTTGGGCTCTCTCTTCACCAACTCTGTGATGGCAGTTCTCAATCATTTGCATGGGAGGAGAATATTCCTCTTGGATAGAATGAACCTCTCGGACTGGATACACAGAAGTTCCTCATTTCTGTCCAGGGACTTTGATCCCTGAAAACTGCCAGATAATAATCCCTCATTTTCATATCATTCTTGCTCTTTGCTAGGGTTTTATTTCAGGAGTTTAAGCTCACCGCGCCACCAATTCTCCTTTCCCACCCCCATATGCAGCCAAATAGCAGATGGGGTGAGGATTGCTGGCACTGGGGGTAAGGGCAAAAGCTACTGCCAAGAGTCGGATGGATTAAAGCTGTCCTTTCATCCCTTCCTCCACCTACAGCAGAGTTCTGCTCAATAGCCCAGTCAACAGGCTTCCAACTCTCTTCCCTCTGTCCCCTCTGCCCCGTGCCTCTTTTACACAGATGTCCCTTTTTAATTAAAGAGGATGGCCCTCAAAGTCGCCACTCCACACTGAAAAGCCGAAACAGCTCAGGTGTCCCTGTGTTTCCCATTGGTGAGCCAATCTGAAGAAGACCAGAAGTTCTACCCAGGCCTTCCAAGGTCTTTCTTCCAAGAATTCTGTTTTGGTCCTAGAGGCACCTGGGTTTCCTGCAGCAGTTGAAATAGGGATTTTTACGAACATGCTGTTTGGACTCGGACTGGAAGTTTTCCCTACAGCCAAAGGTTTAGATCAAGGAGCGTGTGGCTACAGAGGGGCTGTTGCATTGCAACTTCCATCATCTCCTACCCTTAGCAGTGTGGTGTAGGGGAGAAAGGAGCTCCTGGACACACCCTCCCTGTCCCTGGTTTAGGGTACGTACAGATGTGGGACCTCTCTGACCCCATTGACCAAATTCCTTTTGGAGACCTTCTGGGGAGCTGTGTCCTGTGGTGAATGGCTCAAAAGGAGGCATGGTGAAAGGAAAGCATATTTGGGTGGACCAATAATACCAAAAGCCCTGGCATGTGTTGTCTTAGCACTAACTGGAGAAAAGCTGCCGGCAACTAAGTCTCAAAGGGCATTCCAAGCGCTGCAGTGGGTGGAAGGAGCTCGCATAAAAGCTGGGTTAGCGGTCAGAGGAAAAGAATGTGAGTTTAATGGAAAGAAGACATGGAATTCTGAGGGTCCCCAGAGATTCTGCTCCTGGTTTTGAGTTTCTCCACCCTTAAAATAGATCTTCCAGCCCACCAAGACGCTGCGGTGCCTAGGATAAGCGATGGAATGGTGGCCATAGGTCCAAAACGAGGTGGAATCCTCAAGTGTTAAGGATGGGAGAGAAATTGGACCAAAGCACCAAAAAGACGGATGAGGTTTCCTGCATAGCGCTTCCAGCAGCCAGATGTTTGCGAATGTCACTCCCAGAAGGGTTGTATATGTGTGTATTTTAAGCTGTTTATAATGAGCGTTCCAGGACATGCTCAAAAGCTGCCATGTGCTGTGAGAGGCATTTGACGCCTATGAGCCACCCCCACATTTTGGATGTGTGCGTGGGGGGGGGGGAGTGGATTGCATAAGGGACCTTTATATAAGTCCCAGAATTGCTAACAGCTGCGCCTTGAAATGCAAGATTTCAGGGAGTCCCAAGAAGAGCAATAAAGAGAGACACTGGCTGTGGCATTTTACCAGAGCGCGTAGCGTGGGAGTTGTATATGACCACTTGGGGGGCACTTAGCGAGTTATAAATGCTGGTGAACTGTGCAGGGAAGGAGATTTAAGATGCCAAAAGACACCGGATCCCAAAACGTTCCTTGATCAATGCACGTGCTTTAACTTTAGACATACTAGCCTAATGGGTGTTAACAAGGTCCCAGAAATCTCTGGGATTCCTCAAATCCTGATCAAGATGCCCTCAGTGGGAAGATCAGTCTCCTCATGGCGGGTAAACAGCATTAAAAGGGAGCTTCGGACTGTGGCTCCAGAGCAGAATTCCTGTTTTGCATTCAGAAGCTCGTAGGCTCAATCCCTGCCATGTCTAACTGAGAGGACCTCAGCTAGTAGGAGAAGGGAAGGCCCTCTTTTGTGGACATCCGAGGAAGTCGCTGTCAAGTGGAGCAGATAATCCTTGGATGGGCAGTCCACTGGTCTAGCCTGGCTGGAGCCAGGGGTCAGACTAGATGGCCCAGGAGATCCCTTCTGATTTGCTCTGTTTCTATGTTTCTTTCTTTCTTTCTTTCTTTTTTTTTTCAAAACATTTTTATGCTGCCCCCATCGCAACAAAGCCTCGGGGCAGCTTACAACAAAAACAAAGTTATTCAAAATTATACAAAAACAAAATTATACAATAAAAATATTAAAACTCGGTGCATCTCAACTTAAAAACTTTTAAAATCCTACACAATAAATTAACACTTAAAATAAGTTTTAAATAAAAAGGTCTTGGCC